TAGGGAAACTAAAGGGGGGAAAGACACAGACAGAAATAGGGAAGTTGAAGTCAAAGAAATTTTTAATTGAGCACTTACTATGAACCTGAAAAATGGCTGACAGTACCACTAAATGTTTTAATTTTAAATGCAGGAAAGTCAAAATACATTATCAGCATTTAATGTTTACTTCTAAAACATTATTCTGAATGACTTATTCAAATAGTTTTGTTTGTGACTCACATTCTTACGTAACTCAGAATGCTTGTTAAGTACCCAGTATTACCACCTACCTCACCAGGCACTGTAGGTAACAGATGAACAAAAAGCACAGCTTCACAGACAGGACTTATCACGTGTTCTTATGTTGAAAAAGACCCTTCCTTCTTTGCAGGGGGAACATGTAACTTAGTGATTAAGGACAGGAATGCTGGCTAAGTTAGTGGCCCAGGTTCAAATTCCAGGTCTAATATAGTTTGTTTGATTTTAGGAAAAATACTCAAGCCCACTAAACCTCGGTCTCCCACCAGGAAAATTAGTATTATACTTACCTCAAAGGCTGTGAAGATTAATTAAAACGATGTATGTAAAGCACTTGAATGTAGAGTGCTAAATAAGAGGATGCTGGGATTGCCAAGTGAGAGCCCTAGTACAGACGGATGGATCTTGGGATTCCAATTCTCGGATATAGCTTCAAATTCTTAACATAATGCATTCTTGGAATCCATCCTCCCAATTTACTGCACCTTGGGTATCAAAGACGTAAGGAGGACTCTACAAGAACACATTCCCCTATGCTTTTTGGTACCCTGTAATCCAGCAAATATTTGATGCTGGGACTTTATTACTGGGAAGCCTTTTTTTTTTTGGTACTGGAAATCGAACTCAGGACCTTGCTCTTGCGAGGCAGGCGGCGGAACCACTGAGCTACATCCCCAGCCCAGGGAAGCATTTCTTACAAAGGAGGAAGGGGTGGTGAGGAAAGTTGAGGAACTGATCAAAGCAGATTAATGGACAAAAAAAAATTTTTAATTTTAATTCATGATAAACCCCGTTAAAATTAGATATATCATTTATTTTCAACTACGGGTACACATACGTACTCAGGTTTTTTCTTTTGGTACTGATTTAGCTTTTTCTTAACAATGACAAGTTTTATACTTTATTTAAATATTACAACTGTTATATGGGTTCTTTAGAGGTTCCAGAGATCTATTAAATGTCAGCTTAAGTGATAAAGGAATGAATATTGTTTAGCCAGAAAGTTGTCAACCACCACCAGCCTCTCTTCCCACTTTTTAGAATATAAAAGTGATTAAGTATTTAGGGATAATTTTAGCATGTCCATAACCACTGTCCCATTAGACATTCTATAATTATTTTAATCTAATCAAATTATTTAAATCCCTGTTCATCTCACCTATAACTTCCAAGTCTTTTAATTCAATTTTTATACCTTGTTCATATTTTTGCTTTCAACTACAGTAAAACAGGATTTTTTAAACCTATCATTTTTCCTTTTAATTAGTATTGACTGCCCTAATACTTGCTTTATAAATAGCCCCTCTGGAGTCCTTTTTTTTTGTTCATACTCAAGCTGTTAGTTTTTAGTAATTAAGCATTTGCCTCATACTATTTTGCTCATGTGGTCATTTCTCTGAGTGTTTTAACTTTAAAATTATGAAAAACTAAGACAAATTCCTGAGTCCTAATATACTGTTGTCTTTGTTGTGCTTTATAAATCTCTGGGATTCTTTGTCCTATTTACTAAAAATTATAGATCATTCAAGTTGCACTGTAATTGGTAGGAAATGTTAGGAGCTGACTCTATTCCACCAGGATTTCTTGCTATTTAGAAAAGGGAAGGCTGGGGGTGTGGTCAGTGGTAAAACACTTGCCTACCATGTCAAAGCCCTGGGTTTGCTTCCTTCCTAGCATTGCAAAAAACAAAACTAGTCCGAAGGCTCATTGTGCATTAAGACACCCAAAAACTGGTCATGCACTGAAAAAAGGTCCTTCAAAGCAAAAATGATGTCTCTGTGAGATGGGGTGGGGGGTTGGAGCCTGAACATATAAGTTATGAAAGCAGGAGCGACAACTTCCACAGTCCTGATTCATTCTCTTCAGTCTAGAGCGACAACTTCTACAGTCCTGATTCATTCTCTTCAGTCTAGAGGCCACAAAGCAATAGGAAAGAAGTGAGAGCTCTATGCTTAACTCTAGGAGAGGAAGGAGATGAGACAAAACTGAGTTGGAGAGGGATATTTTTCACCCCCATCCCTGCCAATTTAAAAAGCCAAGTAGCCTTTAAATGAATTTTGGCTTGATAAAGAAAATTATATATTCCACTTGAAGAAGTCTATGCTGCCTTGTAGCTAATCCCAAAGCAAAAAGGTGTGTCCCATGTGGTATGAAACAGGGAGAAGGCATCATGAAGTGTAGCTTTGTAAAACATAAACCTCCCAGTAGTGTGCAATTACAAATTTATCTATTTCCTTGCTAACTGCTGGTTGTTACTGCATGCCCAAACACTAAATTAAATCCCTTTCTAATACAATAGATAGATAACCCTTTCTTCAAGGAGTGATAATATTTAGAAAAAGTCCTTTTCTTTAATGGTAGGAAAGCCATTCCAACAGAAACTTTTGATGAGGGTAGAAAAAAGGGATCCCAAAGAAAATTATACCCACTAAGACACTATCTAGTCTGGAAATTTTATTTATCTCTTTATACTACTCTCTAGTGGTCTCTGGGTTAGACAACTTGTTTATCAGGTTCCTAGAAGTACTATATACATACATACTATATCTCATTTTAATTGCATTTCAGATTTAAGTACTTGATAAACTATTGTATCCAAGGCTCAGAGGAATCACTCTTCCTTTTTTCTGCTGTTATGTGGCTTTTAAAAACAATCCTGACTTTTCATTTACCTTTTTATGCCACTTTACTTCCCATTACTTTAATTATTCACTGGCTCCTTTGCTATTCCTATCCTTACTTAACATTTAAACATATCCCCACAAATCTGTGAGCTCACACTGTGCTCTGATACTTTCAACTAAATTAGTACTAGCCAATATGTCTCTCAATTCCCTTGGCAACTTGTTCTTTTATGCAAATTATATACAAAAATATGATTTGCATATCTTAAAATCTATGAACAAAAAGAGCGATGCTATTACTGTCTGTAATCACAAAACTGTATTTTTAAATATAGGAGTTAAAATCCCTTTCATTATGAGAAGGGTGTTACGTTCAAGTAATTCACATTAAAAGGCATTCTATTCAGTATATTTATTTATTGATGGGTCAATTGTGCCAGTATTTTAATTCACATGTAATGATGTAGACCCTATGTCCAAACAACTAACAATACTACTTTAATTGAAAAATGATAAACTGTTTCCACTTACGTTGTGATTATATGATACTCAAATTTCGTATCCTTTACAGAAATAAAACATGATAAATTGCAATTTTCTACAACACACTTTCTCCAAATCTAAGTATGACACAACACATTTTTGTGCACTCTACTTTTATAGAACAACCAGATTTATAATTGATTTCTTTATTAGATTTATCAATATACATGGCAGCTTTCTCAAATCTCAAAGTACCAAAAAGTACGTAATTTTAAAGGTGAAAAATCACTTTCCTTTAGATATTCCTAGATATTCCTATTAAAATCTATTTATAAACAAAAATAATTGATAAACACACTTTAGAAATCAGAATATTTTAAATTAAAATATTTTTAATGAATATGTCTTTTAATTAACTATCATAGTTAAATTTAATATCACAAAACAAAATGGCTTATCCCCACCAACTTCCCAAGTGAGGGAAAGTCATTGGGATTTACACTTAATATAAGTTTTAAATGTGATTATTAAATGATAATATTTTATCAATTATAGGAAATGTTTATTTATATTTTTTAAAATTTTGGTATCAGGGATCAAACTCGGGTCCTTGTGCTTGTGAGGCAGGCGCTGGAACCGGGGAAATGTTCATTTATAGGAATTTCCTCAGGTCCATCAATTATTTTAGGCCAAGTTTGAGCCCATGTCAACCTTCCAGGTTACATTCAGCGCACCTAACTCTCCTAATAAGTTTATCAATTTAAGAATATGAGTTTCATTGATAATAAGAGAGAATAAGCAGTAGCTAATCCACTGTTCAACTGATAAAAGACAAAAAAAAAAGCTAAACCTGAATGGGATAATTTCAAGTAATAATTTAAAAAATTTTTTTAAACTTTAAACAGGAATGGCCAAGGCTGCTGGCTTAAGATTTCACAGGATAACCTTAAGAAAAAAACAAAAAAATAAAACACATAGAAATAGTGAAGTCATTGAACCTTATTGATAAAAAACTAAAGTTTAATAGTCATTGAAGGGGTAACAGCAACTTATTGTCTACATTTAAAATTAATTTTAAAGAAAACTAGAAACAAAGAA